GCTGTGGCTCAAGTGGTAGAGCGCTAGCCTTGAGCTGAAGAGCTGAGGGACAGCGCCCAGGCCCAGAGTTCAGGCCCCATGACCGGACCCAAAAAAAAAAAATTCTCTTCAGTGCACATGTGTGTGTGTGTATATATATATATACCTTCCATATTCATCATTTCTTGACTTTTAGACACAGTCTTCCATATCGCATTTCATACGTTATCTTTTATTTTGGACTTCCTTCGATGAGTAGTACTTGAGGCCAACATTTTGCTGATTCCACCAAAACTGAAAATTTCCAACTTTGTCTCAGTTGTATTGTCACTTGACTCAGCAAGTGTTTTCCCACTCCGTTTCAGAAAGAAATAAGGGTGAAAGGGATTAAGATGCACTGTCCCTGATGTTCCTCAAACTGGGTATCCTCAGTAGGCCCCATCAGACTCAGTACCTGATGAGAGCCATCAACTCTAGCAGGCAATGTGGAGTATGCCTATAATCCCAGCACGAGGAGGGGGGAGGGGAGGAAGGACGGGGCGGGGGGGGGGGAGGGGGGTTGGGGGGTGGAAGCAAAAGGATCACAACTTTCAAGGCCAGCTTAGGCTACATTTGCTCTGATCCTGCCAACCCAACAGGCAGGACTAGGAAGTCAATAAATCCAGGAGCTGTTTTTATTGCAATATAAATTTATACTAAGTGAATCATCATCATGATCCTGTAAATTTTAAGCCAGGTATGTGTGGTTCACACCTTTAATCCTAGCAATTCCGCAGGCTGTTATCTGAGGATTAGGGTTTGAAGCCAACCCAGACAGGAAAATTATCTCCAGTGAACCACCAAAAATGTCAAAAATGGAGCTATGGCTCTCGTGGTAAAGAAGTAGCCTTGAGCAAAAAAAGTTCAAGAAAGCCAAGCACTGATGGCTCACATCTGTAATCCTAGCTAGCTACTCAGAAGGTATGAGATCTGAGGATCATAGTTCAGTAAAGTCTGTGAGACTCTTATCGCCAACTGACCACCAGAAAACTGGAAGTAGTGTTGTGGCTCAAAAGTGGTAGAGTGCTAGCCTTGAGCAAAAGAGCTCAGAGACAGTGCCCAGGCCTTGAGTTCAAGTCCCAGGACTGACAAAAAAAAAAAAAGCAAAAGCTCAGGAACAGTACTCAGTCCCTGAGTTGAAACCCCAGGACACACACACACACACACACACACGTAAATTTTTTTATTTTTTAGTTTTTTGTTGGTCGTTGGCCTGAACTCTGGGCCTGGGCACTATCCCTCAGTTCTTCAGCTCAAGGCTAGCACTCTACCACTTGAGCCACAAGCACCACTTCTGGCTTTTTCTGCCTATGTGGTGCTGAGGAATCAAACCCAGGGCCTCATGTATGCAAGGCAAGCACTCTACCATGGAGCCACCTTCCCAGCCCCGACACATGTAAATTTTGAAGGACAAGCAAAGAATTTCCATTATAGGCGAGACAAGACACACATGAGTAGATGATGCCGCCGATATATGTACTTCTCATTGCCTACCCCCACTCTACTGTCACGTACTGTGGTGACTTAAGGCCAGTCTGCCAGGCAGGCTCGAAGTATACATGTTTGAAAGTGTTCACACATGGTGGTGAAGCTATGGTGAGCCACTGTTGAGACCAGTAAGGTGACTCTTCCTGACCTTGATGACTTTGATGACCTCGCCTCTGATGACTGATGATGAAGTCAACTTCTTTGACAACCCTGCCTCTGTTCACACATCCACTACCACCAACCCTTGCAAAAACTAAATCTCAAGTGAACACCGAAAAGAAATGACCCGAATCTAGGTCTAGTTCCCCCAGATGAGCAAAAGCATGCAGTCCATATGGGAGAGACGCCTCTTCTCTTTGAAAGTAGCTGCTTCCTGTCAATCTTGAGAGAATTGTTTTTTCTTAGGGGTTCCTGCTTTGGTCAGGTGACATGGCCCCTTGTTTAATACATTTCAGTTACATACATACTTTTCCTGATCACTTTAATTAAGATATCCTGTTAGAAACTCCTTGACATTTAGTTGCATTGTTAAGGCACATCCTTTGGCAGATGTGAACCTGAGATCAGCCAATGGGAGCAGAGGGGTGGGGCCTGCTGGGTTAGAGATAAAAAGGGAGCAGCCTGCCTGCTCTGGGTGCTTGTTTGCCAGAATTTTGGCTGAAGTCACACCCTTCTGCAGAAGTAAATTTTGCCTTGCCGAGTTCCTTTGAAATTGGTGTCCTTATTCCTAAATGACACCCCAACGTCCCGAGCTATTTCTAACAAATATTTGTCTTACAGAACTTGGCTTCTTTCTCTTACTATGGATAACTTTTTTGTCTGTGTGTTATAAGGTTTTAGGCGAGGAAAGAACACGCAGGAGGAGGAAAAGGTGTAGAAAGGAAAGTTTATTGGGGTTCGCTCCCAGGTGAACTTCCTGGTCAGGATCAGAGAAGTTGCATAGAGTCTGGTTGTAGCAGGGTTTATATGGCCAGGGTCAGCAGGAAGTTTTAGCACATAACTTGTTTTGCGAGTTCAAACAGTTCCGGGCTAGTGCCCCCGAAGGACAGGACGATTGGGACAGGTGATGTATAATTGGGACAGGTAATGTATAAGGAAGTACTTTTCTCAGCCCCTCTGTCCTCCAGTGGCCTGTCATGTGTGACCAGAACAAAACAAAAGGCCTTAGTTTCAGATTTTTCTTTTTGCTTTTTTTGTGTGCTTGAACTCTGAGCCTGAGTGCTCTCCCTGAGCTTCTTTTTACTCAAGGCTAATGCTGTACCACTTCTGGCTTTACTCTAGTTTGCTTTTTGCTGTTTGGTTTTGTTACTAGTTTATTGAAGATAAGAATCTCATGGACCTTCTTGCTCGGGCAACTTCAAACCATGATCTTAGCCTCCTGAGCAGATAAGATTACTCCGGAGACACCAGCACCCAGCTAGTTTCAGATCTTTGACTTATTTCCCAGTGAAGGCACAAACATCTTTCTGTGCATGTTTTAAATTTATTAAGGCAAACAGTTCAAATACAAAGGTTTTTTTCCCACAGTCATCTTCTGGCATGTCTTTATTTACTACCTTTGAAGTCTCAAAAATCAGAGGCATCTGGGTCTTTTTTGACCTGAAGCTGGATGAGCTGCAGAATTCTAGGGCCAATACCTTGTAGAGGAAAGAGACTGCCTGTCCAATGCTGTTCTGTGCTGGATCCTGCTTCACAAACTCCAGTGTGCTGGCAATTCACTCCAGTTCGAGAAATCTGAACCACGACTCCCAAAAGCAGTGAGGAGCTGATGCTGACCAGATTTTTCTAGACATGAGGAGGCTAAGAAAGTACCAAGCTGCTTACACAATGTGCCTTGAAACCCATCTTCTAGAGACCAAACTTCAAGCTACAGACATCCCACATGATCCACATGAGAGGATGAAGAAGCCATTGAAAGTATGTTGGGACCAGTGGCTTCCTCAGGTCTCTATCTGGAAAATCACAGCCTAGGGGAGGAAGGGAGCCTCAGGTCTAAAGTTTTCCAGATAGAAATTCCAAAGTAAGTTCTCCAGGCCGTGGCTGGGTCCTGTCCCAAGCCTCCAGTTGCACCTTTGACAAGACAATGGATCTTCCCAAAGAGCAGACACAGCCTAGTCCCAGCTCCTCTGGTGGAGTGCTCCCTCCCTGATTTAGGTGACAGGAAAAGGACCAGAAAAGCTCTCAGGGGAGAAGGTACAAAGGAGAAGAGGGTGGCTTCTCCCTGAGAAGACTACGTGTCTGCTACCCCATTTTCTGGGATAGCCTCTGCTACCCCATTTTCTGAGGCAGCCTCTGCTACCCCATTTTCTGGGATAGCCTCTGCTACCCCATTTTCTGAGGCAGCCTTTTGCTGTCCATTTGCTTCCTCCATCAAGGCCTTGTACTGACGTTTGAAGAAGCCCACCTGTGGAGAGGAAGAAGAAAATCAAGGGAAGACCGGACGCCAGGCACCCAAGACTCACACCTGTAATCCTAGTTACTCAGGAGGCTGAGTTGGAAGCCAGCCTGGGCAGAAAAATCTAAGAGACTTTTATCTACAATTAACTACCAGAAAAAAATTAAATAAAGCCAGAAATGGGAGCATAGTTCAAGTGGCAGAGTGCCAGCCCTGAATGGAATCAGTTAAGGGAGAATGCCAGGCCCTGAATCCAAGCCCCAGTAATGGCACCAGAAATAAATGTATTTCAAAAGAACAAAAGAAAATCAGAAGGTCCAATACAAGAGAAAAGAGGTTACATAGGGAAAACGAGCTATCATCATTTCTAGAACCTTGGCTATGTTCCCAGCACTAGGAGCCTATATATACTTTCAGATTCCATGGCCAGCAAGTGAGTCATCACAGAAAGATACAAAGAAAGCATCAACCTGGTGTGGCTCCATATTGAATTCTGGGACTGCATTCTATTGTGTCTGCTGTAGGAGGAACATGACCACACAGACGGAGAAATTGGTGGAAAAGGGGGAGAGGTGAAAGGAAGTCTGAGATCCAGGTTAGGATAAACACACACACAGTAGAGATAGACTGGGGGGGAAAGGGAGAGAGACATATAACTGGAGACTGGGGACCTTGGAAGGAATAGGGAGTTTCTCACAGGCAGTGACTTTGTAAGTAGAACAAAGATCGGAAAAGGATTTTGGAAGAGGGACCAATTTTCTCACAGGAAGTGACTTTGCAAGGAGAAAGAACATCCTCACAGGAAGTGACCTTGGAAGGGGGAGGGATTTTTTTTCCACAGGAAGTGACCCAGGATGTATATTCAATGCCCAAATCACCTCTTTGTTTCCAGTAGAAAGAGTAGGATCCCAGCCTGGGGTTGGAAGCGGGCTAAACACTCACCTTGTACAGGATGGCTGTGATGAGAGCCAGTAGCAGCAGCCCGCCCACAGAACTGCCCACAATAAAGGGAATAGGGTTGGGCACTTCGTATTTCTCCAGCACTGTCTTCGTCTGACGGGAGGTGATACCATCAGGGAGGGTCAGGCCTCTTGACAGCTCAGCTTCCCCAGGTGCCCAGCCTTTAGGCCCCTCCCTTCCTCTCCTCCCAGGCCCTCCTCCAGGGCTGAGATGCAAAAGCATTCATCCATTTAGGTCCTGCCAGGTGCCTGCCTCCCACCTCCTACCTCTGGGTCTGAGAATCCCCCAATCAGCACCACACAGCAGGAGCCCCTCACCAGCCTGGGCATTGCCCACCACACAGGCACTAACTACCTGGGCCTTCAAAAACACCTCCTGTCCTGGGAGCTGGGAATACACAGACGTGTCAAACGTGATCTCAGCCACCGACATGACCAACACCTTCTTCTGCAATGTCTGCCAAGGGGGAGAGAGGAGCTGGGGAACAGGATCTGGGAGATCAAGCAGGGAGCTCCAGGATCGTCCTGGCTTGAGGATGGCCCCACGTGGATCAAGGAGGAGGTGTACACACCTGGCTGACCCATCCAAAGCTGAGGTTGCCCTGCAGGACAAAGTCCAGCTCCTCCTGGATACCGAAGGAAGGGATGTCACAGTGGAACCTCAGACACTCTGCAATGGAGCAGTCCTGGAGACAGAGAAGCCATGGTGGACCAACCAGAGGAAGGTGAATGTGAAGGTAGGAAACAGCATGAAACGGTGAGATTGACAGGAAGCAGCAGCCACGGGTGAATAGAAGGCAGCTCTTCCGTGAGTGTCCACCTGCTGTCATGCCTTTCCTGAATGAAAGCCCTCAACGTGTGACCCGAGGTGGGGGACAGCCCAGAGCCCCCCTCACCAGCACAGGATCTTCCTGCATGCGAGTCAGGAAGTTAGACTGCACGGGAACTAGTCTCTCTGAAGAGCACTGGATGGATGGGTTCTAGAAAAAAAGAAATGGAGAGAATAATGTCTCCATTGGGATCTCAGGAATCCATGATGGATATGGGGCAGGGAACCTAGGATAAAAAGATGCCCAGTCAGGGCCACACGCAGTCTTGAGTACCTGGGGGTGTAAGAGCTCCACTTGCGTCCACACAGCTGCTCCGCCCACTTCCACAGGCACCCAGAAGTCGATCCTCACGGGCAGATCCCTCTGCCCCAGGTTATGCCCCTGCAAGGAAGGCAGGACAGAGCCCTCTGTCAGGCTCCCAGCCCAACCTGTTGTCCAGTGTCTTGGTCCCCCACTCAGCCTGAGCTGTGAGATGCCACCACTTGCCTGGTATCCATGCTGCACCATGCTGCTCTGCGCCTGCTCTGAGGCTGAGAAGTTGAGGTATTTGGTGGACTCTTCCTGGCTGGAGAGAAAAGAGGTGAGAGTGGATTTGAAGTCATGGGGAGGTGTCTTGAGGAGAGCCTGGCTCTGATACCATGGGACAGAGGGAGTCATTGGGGCCTTGGGGTGGTGTGGCATGAGCTTTGTGGTCTATATGTGTATATACGTAGAGGTAGATATCTATATCTATCTCTATCTATACACACACACACACACACACACATATACCAGGTACTGGTAGTGCATGCCTATGATCAGGAGGCTGAGATTTGAGGATCGCAGTTCAAAGCCAGACTGAGCAGGAAAATCCATGAGACCCTTCTCGCCAATGAACTACCAGAAAACTAGAGGTAGAGCTGTGGCACAAAGACATAAGAGTGGTAGCCTTGAGCAGAAAAGCTCAGGGACAGTGCCTGGGCCCTGAGTTCAAGACCCATGACAAAAAAAAAGATGGATCTAGAGGATGTGGAGGTATGACTGAAGTGGTAGAGCACCAGCCTTGAACAAAAAAAAAAAAAGCCAGAGTTCAACCCCAGTAATGGTGTGCGCATGTGCGCGCGCACACACACACACACACACACACACACTCCTGCTCTGGTTAGGGTGGAGGAGAAGAGTGGTTGGTGGCCCCAAGGGCACCAGGAGATACCTGCTGAGCACAATGTAGACTGCGTACTTCACAGGGAGCTCCCTCCGGAAGGAGGACCTGTTAGCCCCAGGTGAGTTGTTGTCACTGGAAAAAGAGGAAAGCCACGTGCACAAGGGCCCCAGAAGGCCACGCTGGACTGTGACACCCTGGCAAGGGGACACAGGAAGAAGGGGGCACCCCCTGGATCTTTGCCAGGCTCACCTGCTCACATTGGCTGTCAAAAGTACTCTGTCGCCCAACACAGCTTTGGGGGAGACATCAAAAGTAGCCAAGAAGGAAATCTGAGCAACAGAGAGAAAGGAGGAGATCAGGAAGGGGCTAGGCAGGAAGGGCCAGGCAGGAGGGGTAGACCTTTGTGCCAGGCTGACCTTTGTGCCCCCGTGGAAGATCACGTGGCTGAGGCGGCAGCTGGTGCTCCTCAGGTGCTGGTCCTTGGTCTGGACGCTGTCACAGGTCAGGGTGAGAGGTCGCTGCTGCAGCGAGGTCTTGAGCAAAGGCAAGCGGAACAGCACTGATGACTAGTTATTGAGGATGCAGAGAGCCTCAGCAGCACAAAATACTGTCCTGGAACCCACCTGAAGATGATCCTTCTTTGTCTGGGGCTCAAACTCAGGGCCTGGCCACTGTCCCTCAGCTTTCTCTTCCCCCCCCAAATCCCTATTTGGGCTAGCAACTCTACCACATAAGCCAAACCTCCACTCCCAGCTTTTTGCTGGTTAATGGGGCAGCAAGAATCTCACACTTTTTGTTTCTACCCAGGCTGGCTTTCAATCACAATCCTCAAATCTCAGCCTCCTGAGTAGCTAGGATGACAGGCATGCACCACTGGTACCCAGCTAGGAACTCATTTCTGATAGGCATGTCTTTAAATGCCCAAAGTGAAGTGCATGAGCCAACGCCAGCCCTCCCAGCCAGCTCAGCCCCGCCCAGCCCTGGTGGCCTATTAGAGGCTGATGAGCCATGGCATCCCAGCCTGAGTGGTGGGCCTAATGCAGGTCTGTGCTACCATCCAGCCCACTGGCTTCACCCTTTCCCAGGGAGAAGCACCTGGCTGCCAGTCACTCGCCGATAGGAAAGCCCTGCTGGGTAGACAAAGGTGACCGTGGTCCCATAGGAATCCTCGCCATTGTTGGACACTGTCACCTCGACATTCAGGTCCAGGTTGTTCCCCACCACCAGGGTCTCCAGGCTGCATGTTGGGAGTGGGAAGACCAGATGATTCTGTGGCTGAGGTCACACATGGTCTAGGGGTATCCCATGGGGTATGTGGGGGTAAGGGGTATTAGATAGACAGGGAAGGAGGCATTAGGGCTTCCAAGTTCACCCTGAGAAGTTGAAGGTGACATCAAGGTCATCTTGGCAGATGTGGTCAGCTCCACAGTTCTTCTCAAAGGGGAGCTGAGAGAAAGGCAGAGAAGGGTTTTCTGGAGATCTTGGGAGAGCTCCCCCTGCCCCCCAACCACCACAGAGGCCCCAACACTACAGAGGCCCAACTCACATAGGCCGTGAAGTAGGTCTGGGCCTCCTTATCCAGCACAGGACTGAGGTCTCTGAAGGAACTGATGGGCAGGCCCACTAGGGAGAAGTTGAGGCGCAAGGTGATGGGGGTTATGGCGTCTTCCACACAGTCCTAGAGGGTAGACATGGAAAAGAAGTGTTAAGGAAATCTGTGTCCAGTCTACCCATCTGTAAGGGGGGTGATGACAACTCTGGTATCAAGGAGCGTTTTTCAGCCTGCCCCACAGAACCTGCCCACTTCCCCCGCAGACCCCTCACTTTGCCCAAACACTACCTCACACTGTACCCAGACACCCGCCAGCCCTGGCCTGCTCTTTCCTCTGAGCCTTTACTGCTACCTAACATCTGTTACCTCCAAACTTATTGGGAGGGATGGATGGTTTTGTCTCCGGCTTCTAGGATAGAGCCTGTCTCCAGAGAGCAGAGACACAAATACATGCTAAAGCCTGGATCAGCCTAGAGCCACAGAGCTTTCTCAAACAGCCCTATTCTCTTTCCCAAAACCCAGCTGTGTCACCTCTGGCCCTTGTAACCAGACTCCTTCATTCATTCATTCACTCATCCAATTAACACATGTCCAGCACCACCTGCATGCTAGGCCCTGTGCTGGGACTGAGCTCCACGGAACAGAACATACCCTGTTCTTTTCTCTGGCCAGACTGTTGCCTGCCCCCTCACCCCAACCCCTAACCAGTGATGCCCACCCACACCCCTATCTGTGTCCATAGGAAGCCCTCTTACCGGAAGGAGTAATTGCACTTGTTTACAATGCTGGTTCAAGCCAAGGACTTGAGTCCACCTCAGAAGCCGGGTGTTTGAGTCCTTGAAGATGGCCCGGGGAATTGGCCGGCCAGGATCCAGGGCCAGGTCAAAGGTCACAGAGCTTAGAAGGTTACCTGTAAGGAAGGGAAAGCAGAATATGAGAAGCACTGGGAATGCCGGGGGGGGGGTACAAAAACAGGTGATCTAGAAGGTTCCAGATGCAGGGGAGAGGGAAAGGTCCTGGGCCACTCACCTAGTTGGTGCTTAGAATTTTCAGAAATATGAAGGCAGACATTGGCATGGCCCAGTGCCTGGACAGAAGCCGCCTTCTCCTGACACTCAAACACAGTCCTGGCGATCTCTGCAGATGAGAATCGGATGTCTGCCGCCACGTGGAGGACAGGTCTGCTCCTGTGGGCAGACACTGGGCTGAGACAATGTGCTGGCTACTCCCTGGGAGCACTAGCCTGTACGTGGGGAGGCCCGGGGGCCCTCATCCAGACCCAGGACCGAGGAGGAGGAGCTCAGAAAGGTTCTCACCTGAGCAGCAGTACTTGGCCCTGGGACCCCACGGCCAGGTCCACCAGTCCATCCCGGGTGAGGTCCTGACCCCCACTTAGTGACTGCCCAAAATACTGGAGACTGGAGGAGAGCTGGGAGGCTGGGATCCTCTGACCAGGAGAAAGGGTGAGCGGGGATGAGGAGAAGATACTGATCAGAGTACCAAGACTGGTGCTCTACCAACTGAACTACACAAGCCACTTCCAGCTTTTTGCTGGTTAACTAGAAATAAGAGTCTTCCAGCTTTGTCTGGTTTTGAACCATGATTCTCAGGTCTCCTGAGTAGTTAGGATTATAGGCATAGGTATGAGCAGTTGATGTCCAGATCAGACATGTGTGTGTGTGTGTGTGTGTGTGTGTGTGTGTGTGTGTGTGAATATAGATGTGATTCAGCAGTGATACCCACTAGACACTGTGCTAAAAATGGATAATATGTCAGGTATCAGTGGCTCACGCCTGTAATCCTAGCTACTCAGGAAGCTGAGACCTAAGGATCTCGGTTCAAACTAGCCTGGGCAGTAAAGTCCCAGTGAGACTCTTACCTCCAATACACTACTCAAAAAGCCAGAGTAGTAGCTGTAGCTCAAGTAGTAGAGCACTAGCCTTGAACACAAAAAGGCTCAGGGACAGTGCTTAGACTCTGACTTCAAGCCCCAGGACCAGCAAAAAAGAAGAAAGAAGGAAAGAGAGAAAGAAGGAAAGAAAGAAAGAGAGAAAGAAGGAAAGAAAGAAGGAAGGAAGGGAGAGAAAGAAAGAGAAAGAAAGAAGAAAGAGAAAGAGGAGAGAAAAAGGAGGGAGGGAGAAAGGAAACAGGAAGAAAGAGAAAGAAAAGAAAGAAAGAAAAATAAGGAAGGAAATGGGAGAAGGAGAGGAAGGCCAGGAGGGGAAAAACTGGGAGAAAATGAGGGAAGCAGTAACACTGTTCAAAAAGAAATGTACAATATCTGACTCATGTAACTGTAACCCCTTCATACATCACCATTACAGTAAAAAAAAAAAATATATATATATATATATATATATATATATATATATATATATATTCTTTGGCTCTTGTTAATTTGGAAAAAAAATCTATTTAGATATTTGTATGTATGTGCACTTGCATGAGTGTATTGTGCGTGCTTATGTGTGTGCATGTTCGTGTGTGTGTGTGTGTGAGAGAGAGAGAGAGAGCGAGAGAGAGAGAGTGACAGAGAGAGAAAGAGTGAAAGTACTGGGGCTTGAACTCTGAGTCTCATACTCTCACTTAACTGTTTTGCTCAAGGCTAGCACTCTACCATTTGAGTCACAGCTCTACTTCCTGCATTTTTTTTTGGTAATTAATTGCATACTTTCCTGCCCCAGCTGGCTTCAAACCTCAATCCTCAGATCTCAACCTTCTGAGTAGCTAGGATTACAGGCATGAGCTACCAGCCTCCTAGATGTGTATTTCACAGATTTCAAGAATGGGATAAAAATCATGCACCATCCAGGGATAAGAGGACAGACTCCGTGAGACCTAAACTTATGAGCAACAGGAAACCATTAAGAGACTGAGCACTGGGTTAGGAGTCAGAAATGGCCATCCCTAATCCTGGACTGGTCAAATTGCATCTGGAAAATAGATTTGCTATGGAAGTAAAGCTGTGGCTCAAAAGTAAAGCTGTGGCTCAGCCTTGAGAGAGAGAGAGAAAAAGCTAATTTGAGAGTATGAGGCCCTGAGTTCAAGCTCCAATACCTACACACACACAAACACACACACACACACACACTCAAAGATGAAAAGTAAAACAGGTTTGCTGAAGGGTGGCTTGTATAGCTTGTACATTGTTGGACGATTAAAAAGCCTGGATGGGAAACTCCTGAATCATAAAATTGTGCTACAAAGTAGTACATCTATCAATCAAATTGCCATTTCTTTTCTTTTCTTTTGTCGGTCATGGGGCTTGAACTCTGGGCCTAAATGCTGTCTCTCAGATCTTCAGCTCCACCACTTACTTGAGCCACAGCCCCACTTCTGGTTTTCTAGTGGTTTATTGGAGATAAGAGTCTCACAGACTTTCCTGCCCAGGCTGGCTTTGAACCGCAATCCTCAAATCTCAGCCTCCTGAGTAACTAGGATTATAGGCTTGAGCCACCCACACTGGGCAAGTTGTCATTTCTTAATGCCACAGGATTAAGATGCTACAAAAGGGACCATGCTGGGAAAAAGGGGCTCACTTTCCTAGTGACTGTGAGAAAAAGAAGAGAGAAAATACAAGCAGGCAGTCATGAAACACACCCACAGGGCCTTACCTGGCTGTGTACAGGGCCCAAGTCCAGGCCTGAGGTCCCGTGAAATATGTAGACCGCACCCCGGTTCTCCTGCTCTCCTGGAGCTCCAATAGCCACGTCTGTCAGCTTGTCCCCATTCATGTCCCCCAGCACTGTCAGGGCTGCCCCAAAGCGGCCCCAGGGATGGCCCTGCTCCCCATGGAGAACAGACCCACACCGCCACCGAGCCCTCTGCACAATGAAACCAGTGTCAGCACAACCCAGGCCCTCCCCCCCTCCAGCCCCCACCCTGCCCAGGCCCCATGTGCCACTCACCCCTCTGGGCATGGGACACACGGACACCTGGCCCCCTCGCGTCTGCTCATAGTAATGCGGGGCCCCAATGAGGATCAGGTCAGTGTTGCCATCTCTGCTGACATCCACGGAGCACAGGGAGGCCCCAAAGTAGGAGCCAATCTGGAGGGCAGAGTCTGAGCTCACCTGCCTGACCCCCTCCCCAGCCTCTCCCTCATGAGCCCCAAACCCCATCTCCTTCTCTACCCAGCCACATGGCCCCCTTGAGGTCCACCCCCCCATCTCACCCACACCCACCTGGGTCCCGGGGACCTCAGCATTTGGCCGCCATTGCCCCACTTCCTGGGTGAACATGACAACCTTCCCCGTGTGCTGGTGCCGAGGGGCCCCCATGACCAGACTCCATGTCCCCTTCCACAGGGCCAGCTCCATGGAGTAACCTGAGGAAACCGGGCCTCAGCTCCAAGGCGTCTCCCCCACTTCCCAGCAGCCCCCCGGGGCCTTCCTCACCTAGGTAGGAGTCTCTCATGTCCACACTCTTCTGAGACTCATTGATGAAGGTGGGGGCCCCACTAAGGGGGTACAGGAAGGCGCCCCCAGACCAGCCAAAGCTCCCCACAGCTCCCAGAACCAGACCATCCTGGGAGGAAAGGATTCCAGAACTGAGCAGGCTGGAGTAAGAAGACAACCTAGTCTGAACAGAGCCTGCCTCTCCCTTCACACCACCAAACCCCTCCTCCTTCCTCTGCCTCATCCTCCATGCTCAGCCTCAAAGGGACCACTCACAGGTGTGAAGGCCGCACTGAAGCCTTCCTGAGCCATCTCCAATTCGAAAGAACTGCTACTTCCCATCTCTGTACCTGGAAAGACACCATGACAGAGGCTTCAGGGAGAAAGATTTGCTTTTCCAAGTCCAAGGAGGACCCTTAGAATCTGCATGTTACTACAGCATGAGTGCCCAGGACCAGCATGATGACTGAGGACATTTAAAGCCAGTAGCTCCCTGTCTGACATACCCTCAATGGCGAAGATCTTCTCTTTCAGCTTGTTTTGAATCATCTTCAGCGCATCGAAGTTCTCCACATGAAATATGTGCTCCTGGGGAGGACTCGAGGCAATGGTTTTTAATTCTGCCTGAGAATGTGCATTTTCAAAAGCCTTTCCAACCTGTTCCCAAAAGAGACCAATTCACCATGAAAATCATTCATGGAAAAAGCTGACCTGTAGCCAGGCACCAGTGGCTCACACCTGTCATCCTAGCTCTTCAGGAAGCTAAGATGTGAGGATCGTAATTCAAAGCCAACCTGGGCAGGAAAGTCTGTGAGACTCTTATCTCCAATGAACCACCAAAAGCCAGAAATGGAGATGTGGCTCAAAGTGGTAGAGCACTAGCCTGGAGCACAAAACCTCAGGGACAGCACCCAGGACCTCAGTTGAAGACCTAGGACCCATAAAGAAAACAAAACAAAGAACTATGCATGTGGGTGATACTGTTTTCCAAGACCCCTACAGGGTCCATCCTGCAAGACAAATGGGGGGGGGAAAGTCTTGGAGATTATCAACGAGGTGAAGAAAAAGACAATGGGTCTCTAGATGAGGACAATTGTCTTCCTGCTTTACAGGAGATGAGAGAGCTGGAGGGAAGTTGTCTGCAAAAGAAGGCCAGGGGGGAGGTACAGGGCAGCCAGGACCTACCCCAATGGCATAGCGGAAGATGCCCGCCTCCTCGGCCTTTGGGATCACATCCTTATATTCCATTTTGTCCCCGTCTTTCCATCCATCAGTGATAACGATGAGGATCTTGGTGGCATCTTTGCGGGCTCCATTTGCAGCAGTGAACACATTCTTTCTGTCAGGAAATTTAAAAGATGGGGAGGGGTCCTGGTCAGCCATCAGTGGCTCACACCTATAATCCTAGCTACTCAGGAAGCTGAGATGTCAGGATCCCTATTCAAAGCCAGCTCAGGCAGGAAAGTCGGCAAGCCTCTTACCTCCACTTAATCAAAAAACAAAACAAAAAACAAGAATAAACCAGCTGGAAGTGGAACTGTGGCTCAAGTAGGAAAGCACTGATATTGAAAGAAAAAGCTCAAGGACAGCACCCAGGCCTTGAATTCAAGCCCTAGGACTCTCAGAAAAAAAATTAAAGCTAGGCACTGGTGGCTCACACCTATAATCTTAGCTACTTAGGAGGCAGAGAGCTAAAGATCATAGCTCAAAGACAGCCTGGACAAAAAACGTCCTGTGAAACAGTTTTTTGCTTTTAAAGCTAGCCCTGGGGCTTGAACTCAGGACCTGGGTGCTGTCCCTGAGCCTCTTTGTGCTCAAGGTTAGTGAGTGCTCTACCACTTGAGCCATAGTGCCACCTCTGGTCTTTTCTAACTACTTTATTGGAGATAAGAGTCTCATGGACTTTCTTACTTAGTCTGGATGGGAACAGTAATCCTCAGATCTCAGCTTCCTGATTAGCTAAGATTAAAGCCGTGAGCCATGGGTGCCCAGGACTTGTAAGAGTTATCTCCAATGAAGCACCATAAAACCAGAAGTGGCACTGTGGCTCAAAGTGTTAGAGCATTAGCCTTGAGCAAAAGAGCTCAGGGAAGACTGGGAAGGTAGCTCTGCAGTAGAGTGCTTGCCTCCCACACATGAGACCCTGGGTTCAATTCCTCAGTACCACATAAACAGAAAAAGCCTGAAGTGGCGCTGTGCCTTAAGTCGTAGAGCACTAACCTTGAGCTGAAGAGCTCATGGACAGCGCCCAGGCCCAGAGTTCAAGCCCCATCTTACACACACTCACACACACACACACACACACACACACAGCTCAGGGATAACACCCAGGCCCTGACTTTAACCCTACTACTGACAGAAGGAGGAGGAGGAGGTAGGAGATGGGGAGAAAGAAGGAGAAGGGGGAGGATGGGGAAGAAGGAGAAAGGGAAGATATATATTTTTTTGGGGGGGGTCCAGTCGTGGACCTGAACTCTGGGCCTGGGTGCTGTCCTTCAGCTCTTCTGCTCAAGGCTAGCGCTCTACCACTTGAGCCACAGTGCCACTTCCAGCTTTTTCCCCCCTACTTATGTGGTGCTGAGGAATTGAACCCAGGGCCTCGTGCATGCAAGGCAAGCACTCTACCACTGAGCCACCTTCCCAGCCCCAGGGAAGATATTTTTTAAGAGGGTCTAGAGATGGAATTCTCCTTTTGGAGAAGGTGGCCACATCCCTTCCCCTGAGAGACTTCAGTCCCTATTCAGTTTCCCGCAAAGTTGGTAAACTGGTCATAGAGTTTCTATCTCTGGATATTCAACTGGGGGGAGGGGAAGCAAATGAGGCCCAGTGGAAGACCTGGGTGCCTTGAGAAGGATTGTGGGAGAGCTCTGGACTCACCTGACTGTATCAATGGCTGTGGCAGTGTGGGTGAACTGGTCTAGCTGATATATAGACTTCATCAAGCTCTCAGGGTTGGAATTGCGGGCGAAGTCACGGAAGGTGAAGTGTATCTTGACACTGCTGGAGAACTGCACCAAGGAGAACTGACAGACCCACAGAATGCTCAAGCCTGAGCCTCTTTCCTTAGCACCCCAGCACCACCCAGCCACGCCCTGCAGCATGGTCTCCCCGCCCACCAGGCCACACCTGGGCACTGGATCCCCGAAACTGGCTCATCACAGCCTTCACGAAGTAGAGCATTTTGTTGAAGTTCTTACGGGAGATGCTTCCTGAGCCATCGATGAGGAACACAATGTCCTGTTCTTGCTTGGGGCACTCTGGAAAAGAAACCCTCCAAAGATCAGGCCCCAAAGCCTGGGACCTTGACATCCTAGCCAGGAAAACTCATTCATTCTTCCTAACAGCCTTCTCCAGCCCCCATCTGGTGATCCACGCCAGGCAATCCAGCTGGGTCCTCTCCTTGTCAGGGGCAGGGCTTCTAGTCCCCTGGCTGAGACACAGGGCAGTCTCTTCAAGTCTCAACAAGAGGCCACAATTGACTCAAGTCCTTCACCCTGCATAGCCACTGACAGCTCCTCTCATCTGGAGGTGAGACTCAAAGCCACCTCCTTCCACCCCAGCCATTGTGCCCCTTTCCTGAAATCTGATCCCACCTCTTCTACACATACTCGGTGTCCAGCCAAGAAAACAGTGTACCAGCTCTGCTCATCAGTTACATACCAGTCAGTCAGTGCTGAACTACACTTGGTGTGTGTGTGTGTGTGTGTGTGTGTGTGTGCATGCGCGGAAGTGCACATGAACATCAATACTGGGGCTTGAACTCAGGACCTGGGTGTTGTCATTTAGCTGTTTTACTCGTTTACAACTTGAACCACAGCTCCACTTTTGGCTTTTTGCTGGATCATTGGAGATAAGAGTCTCATTCGTTCTCCTGCCTGGGTTGGCTTTCAACGTCACTCCTCTGATCTCAGCCTCCTGAGTATCTAGGATGACAGTCAGGAGCCACCACAGCCAGACAAGATTCCTTCCTTCTCTTATCCACTCTGAAAAAGTACCTCTGACCCCACTGCACCCCCAATTGCACGTGTGGTGTGAGGTCCCCAGAAGAGCTGGTGGTCCAGAACACTCACCCTGCAGGGCAGCTGGGAGCCTTTGTTTCTGCAGGAAAGATGAAGTCAGCAGGAAGCAGAACCCGGTCAAGTGGAGGTTCTCTCTGCATGCCTTCTGCACCGTGGGGCCACAGGCCTAGCAACAAAGGGAGCTGCTAGGAGGGGCTGCCTCTGCGGAACTCCTATCCCAGAAACTCCACCCTCCACAACACACACACTCTTAGGACCCTCCCATGATGCAGGGCAACTCACCAGGAGCTGGGATGGGTTGGTGCCAGCTGCCAAGGACAGACCTAAGGACATGTTCACAGCCTCTGGGGGCACTGGGGAGATAGATAAGCACATGTTACCACCAAGACAGAGGAGATTGTGTAAGAGATGTGGGGAGGGTTACAATCAAGACACTCAGAGCCTGGCAGGCCAAGAGGACCTCCAAGTCCTAATGGAGCTGAGGAAGTGCAGGGCTGTAATGGTGAGCGGCCTTCAGGGGTCTGCAGACAGCACAGAGCAGAAGCTGGCAAGCAGGAATCTTGACCCCAGGGCCTGGGAGCCAGGACCCAGCCAGGGGCTGTGGCTCACCCTGCAGCTGGAGGGACTTGCACTGGCCTGTGATATAGTCACACTGGTAGAGGCCGCCTGTTTGGTTGGTGGCTTTTATCTCCCGGGGGGCTCCAACCACCACCCTACAAGGGAGACAGAACACTGTTGTTAAAGGGCCGAGAGAACCAGGCATTGTGACTCGCACCTGTAATTGTAGCTACTCAGGAGGCTGAGATGTGAGGATCGAGGTTCAAAGCCACCCTAGGCAGGAGAATCCGTGAGACTCTTATCTCCAATTAACCACCAGAAAACAGGAAGTGGCGCTGTGGCCTTAAGTGGTAGAGTACTCACCTTAAGCTGAAGAGCTGAGGGATAGTGCCCAGGCCCAGAGTTTGAGCCCCATGACCAACAAATAAAAGGGGTCAGACAAAACCAGGCATTGGTGACTCACACCTGTAATCCTAGCTACTCAGGAGGGTGAGATCTAAGGATCTGACGCTCAAAGCCAGCCCAGACAGAAAAGAGCATAAGACTCTTAACCAGGTGCTGGTAGCTCACACTTGTAATCCTAGCTACTGAGAAGACTGAGACCTGAGGGTCGCAGTTCAAAGTCAACCTGGTTAAGAAAGCCCATGAGACTCTTATCTCCAATGAACCACCAGAAAACCAGAAGTGGAGCTGTAGCTTAAATAGCTAGGGAGCTAGGCTTGAGCAAAAAAGCTCAGGGAGGGCTGTGAAGGTGGCTCAGTGGTAGAGCGCTTGCCTTGCATGCATAAGGCCCTGGGTTCGATTCCTCAGTGCCACATAAGCAAAAAAGAAAAAAGCCAGAAGTGGCGCTGTGGCTCAAGTGGTAGAGCGCTAGCCTTGAGCTGAAGAGCTGAGGGACAGCGCCCAGGCCCAGAGTTCAGGCCCACGACTGGACCCCCCCCCAAAAAAAAAGCTCAGGGACAGCACCCAGGCCCTGATTTCAAGCCCCACAACAACCAAAAGAAAAAAAGAAAAGTGGAGCTATTGTTCAGTCACTGAGTACAGCTCTGAGCAAATAATAATAATAATAATAATAATAATGATGATGATGTTAGAGTCAGTGCCCAGACCCTGAGTTCAAAGCCCCAGGACTCTCTTTATTTACACACACACACACACACACACACACAGAGATACAGACAAACCAGGCTTTGGTGGCTCATATCTATAATTCTAGGTATTCAGGAGTCTAAAGATAAAAGTTCAAAGCCAACCCAGGCAGAAAAGTCCATAACACTCTTTACTAGCAAAAAGCAGAAAGCAGAGGAATGGCTCAAGTGATAACATCCCAGCCTTGAGCAAAATAAAAAGTCAGATGAGAGCACAAGGTCCTGAGTTCAAGTCCCACTCCCGAGAGAAAAAAAAAGTGGGGTGGGAAGACAGTAGAACTCCAGTGCTTTAGCTTCCTGAGCCTCAAATGGAGATTAGCTACCATTTGAAGTCTGCATAGGTGGAATTGTTTTCTCTTTTTGTCTCTAGTAGATACCTAGTGAATAGTAGCCATTCAATAAACGTTTATCGAGTGGCTGGTTCCTTCTAAGACTGCTATAAAGATGTTCTCCATGTCCACCTATAACATTCAGGTCACAAGGGCTGGCACTCAGTAGTCACTCAATAAGGGTTAGCTGTGATTTATTCAACAGCAAGCCAGCCTGGGCAGATAAAGTCCTGGACACTCTTATCTCTCATTAACCCAGCAAAAAGCTGGGCTGGAGGCATGGCTCAAGTTGTAGAGCACCAACCTATTGTTGCAGAACTAGGGAGGCACAGGACTCTGTACAGGGAGCTCATTCACCACCTAGTTCTTACCAGGAACTGTCATATTGCACCACACTGTATCCAAACCCAGCACTTCTCATATGAAAGCTCATTGGGTTTTCTGTCTCCAGGTTGAAACCCAGACAAGCAGCCAAACCTGGGGAGGAGCAAGAAGAGAGCTTTGGAAAAGGATCATCTGTTGCCTGACCACTCCCCCTCCCTCCCCACTGAGCTCCATCTCCCAGGCCTCCACTTCCCCATGCTCTTCTAGGCCTAGTCCCTCAGAGTCCCCTGGCTTTTCTGGGCTTTCTTCTTTACTTCCCATGAGTCACAAATGCTCACCACCCTCATCACCTATAGTCAACTTTCCATTCTTTTCTACAGACCAACACTCAGGCTGTGAAGACAGCCCTCCCCACCTCTTCCTCTGGGGCTTCTTGAGAAAGGGGTTAGGAAAACACAGGGACACTCTGAGTGGGCACAGAACCAATCCATTTCTTCTGCCTATGGAGCCAGGTGCCAATGGCTTACGCCTATAATCCTAGCTACTCAGGAAGGAGAGCTGAGGATCGCAGTTCAAATCCTACTGAGACAGAAAAGTCCTCGTGAAACTATTTATCCAATTAACCACTCAAAAACAAAAATGGAAGTGGCACTGAGGCTCAAGTGGTAGAGTGATAGCCTTGAGCACAAAGACTCAGGAACAGTGCCCAGGCCTGAGTTCAAGGCCCACGAAAGAAAGAAAGAAAGAAAGAAAGAGAGAGAGAAAGAAAGAGAGAGAGAAAGAAAGAGAGAGAGAAAGAGAGAGAAAGAAAGAGAGAGAGAGAGAAAGGGAGGGAGGGAGGGAGGGAGGGAAGAAAGGAAGGAAGGAAGAAAAGAAAGAGAGGGAGGGAGGAAGGGAGGAAAGAAGGAAGGAAGGAAGGTAGAAACAAAGGAAGGAAGGGAGAAACAAAGAAAGGGAGGGAGGGGAAGGATGGAGAGAGGGAAAGAAAGGAAAGGAAAGGGAAGGGAAGGAAAGGAAAGGAACTTCTAGACTATCAAGTCAGCTGACTTCCCATCCAGCAAGCGTCTCAAGACCTCTTCCCGAACGGCTTCTTTACCATCCACTCCCTCTATGAATACTAGGTCCCAAACCCTGCACTCCAATGTTAAATTTCTCTCCCTACCCTGACCCTGCTCTCGGCCTTGGCTGTGTAGGGCTGGGATCCCAAGTCCCCTTTCTTGAGAACCCAGACTCACCCATGGTCAGGAGGAGAGCTATGCAGGGCCCGTTCATGGCTGGAAAGTCAAGCTCAGAGGTGGGTGCTCTGAGCATCTGGACTGCAAAGGACTGAGGAAGAAATGAGAGCAGAAAGGTGATACGGAGGCTGGAGCCAGGAGGGAAGTGGTCAGCTTGAGTCAGCGATCAGAGTCCTGCCTTCCAGGCAGGACTAAAATGGATAAAGAAGAGACTAGGACAGCCCACACACTCAGCCCAGAGATTCCCTCATCAGAGATGACTTACCTCCATGGTTGGGCTGAGACGGACGCCACTCCTTATCTTGCCTTTACCCTCTCATATTTGGCAGCAGGCTTCCCTTCCCTTGAAATGCCGGTCGGCCCAGAGAGTAGAGGGGGCTGATACCAGCCATCCAGGGCCTTGAGGGAAACCCTCCACACCTAGCCTGGAAGTCTCTAGGCCAAAAGGTGAGCACAGACCGGGCATTCATTCATTCACTCCCTCTCTCGTGAAGTGACTGTTTATTCAACAAGCCAAATTCAAGGCTTGGTGGTCTGAGCCCTTTGCTAGGTGAGAACACACTTCATTACACAACCCTGGCCCTGCGGTCAGTGCAGATGGCTAATGGGTTAAAAGCCAGAAGAGCTTGTTACAGAGCAGATGTGTTCTCTCACCTCTGCTGCAAAGATCAAACTCAGGGGCCTCCAGGAAGGTTCCCCAGAGGAGGCAGCTGTTGAACTGTAAAGGAAAATGATGTCCAGAAACCACAGGGAAGGGTGTTTCAGAAGGGGCCACCAGATGTGGGCTAGGCATGAAACAGGACAGCTGTGTGTGCAGTTAATGTGGTCAACCATGACAGTGGGAGGTAGCATGTGGTAGGAGATGAGGTCACCTTGGATGGGGGTGGGTGGGGGGTGGCGCAAGAGGAGGAAGCAGATCTTGAGTCCTGGAAGTCCTCTTACAACATCTTGGTTTTGTCCTGAGGACCAGGTGGGAGCTTTAAAGGGAATTAGCAAAGATGGAGACCTTCAGACTCCTCTTTCAGAAGGCTAGAAAGTGACTCCTAACCAATAGCCAGCTTCCAGACACAGCCTACAAGCCAGTCAACAGCCAATGATCAGGCTAAGCACTGATCATTCCTGAAGTCCTAGATACTCAGGAGGCTGAGATCTGAGGATCACAGTTTGAAGCCTCCTCAGGCACACAAATCCAAAAGACTCATAGCTCCAATTAAGGAGCAAAATGCCATAAGTGGAAATGTGGCTCAAGTGGTAGAGTGCCAGTCTCCAAGCAGAAAAAGCCAAGTGAGAGCAAAAGACCCAGCATTCCAGTCGCAGTACTGGCAACACATACACACACACACACACACACACACACACACACACACACACACACACACAGATGACTGGATAAAGAAAATGTGGTGTATTTATATACAAGGAAGTTTTATTCAGTCAAAAAAAAAAAGAAGTTATGTTGCTTACAGGAAAACCAAGGGAACTGGAGATCATAATGTTCTGTGAAATAAACTAGACTCAGAAAGTCAAGTGTGGCACATGCTTTCCCTCACATGTGGAATTGAGGATGTAGAGAAAAAGGCACTGAAGTAAAGGGCTGGAGCAATTAGGGACAGGGAAGGGGAAAGTAGGGGAGAAGAAGGGGAATATCATATACAGTATATACACATGCGCATCGGAGGGAAGCTGGCAGGACACAGAATCCGTGGAAAGCAGGTGAAACATGACAGCAGAGAGGCCCATCAGCTGCGCTGGACACTGCTGAAAGTGAACTAAGCAACTCAAGGCCTGTGATGGGAGAAAGGGAATGAGAGAGAAAGAGGGAACAGCCAAAATTAAGCAAAAAGAAAGAAATGTACATATCACCCAATCTAGGTTATTGTTAATGTTTGTAGAGGTCATAAACTTTGTAGATTGGAATGATGATGATTATCATTGTGAAGGTTAAAATGTGTTAGTGACTTTAGCTAAGTATAACTACACCGTTGTATTGTGATATATATTGTAGTTACTTAAACTCAATAAAGACATCTTTGGACAAAAAGAAATGGTAATAAAGGAGGAGAATAGTATCAAAGGACATGTGTATGCATTTATGTGTATGAAAATGTCATCGTGAGACTTTATTACTTTTGAGGATTTTAGTGTTTGTTGTTGTTTTTAGGAAGTATTTCTTTTTTCTTTTCTTTTATCTATTTATTGTTTTTTTGCCAGTCCTGGGGCTTGAACTCAGGGCCTGGGCTCTGTCCCTGAGCTTCTTTTGCTCAAGGCTAGCATTCTACCACTTGAGCCACGGCATCACTTCTAGGTTTTTTCTGTGTATGAGGTACTGAGGAGTCAAACCCAGGGCTTCATGCATGCTAGGCAAGCACTCTACCATTAAGCCACATTCCCAGCCAGGAAGTATTTCTCTTATTTTTTAATTGACTACATAAGGCCCAGAACTTGGGATTACATGCTCAGCTTCCACTATGAACTGATCTTCCAGATCTTCTGATGTGTTGGGCACTGCTTTAATGATACTGGGGTTTGAACTCAGGGCCTCACACTTGCTAAGCAGGTGTTTTACCACTTGAGCCATGTACCCAGCCTGTTGGGCCACTGCTTTGGAAACTCAATTAATATTCCTTTACTTTTCTTTCTCCCTCTTTTTTTTTAGTTTGTTTTTTGTAGGTCATGAGGCTTGAACTCAGGGCCTGGGAGCTATCCATGAGCTCTTTTGCTCAAGGCTAGTACTCTACTACTTTGAGCCATAATTCCACTTCCACTTCCAGTTTTCTGCTGGTTTATTGGAGATAAGAGTCTCATGGACTTTCTTGTTTGGGCTGACTTTGAACTGTGATCCTCAGACTTCAGCCTCCTGAGTAGCTAAGATTACAGGTGTGAGCCACTAGCACCTGGAGATATCTTTGTTTTTTAAATGATAAGAAGATTTTTTTAATTGAAAGTCAAAAGTGAACTAACTGAAAGTCAGGACATTCAGAAGAGGGTGTCAGGGGGCTGTGGGTGGCCAGTTAAGCCATGAGAAAAACCAGAATAGAATGCTTTACTTGGTTTCTCATTTGGCTCGCTTGGTTTATTTTAAGTTTTCAGTTCCCTTTTCTGTAGAAGGGATGTGATTTTTTTAAAGTCAACACCTCCTACTGAGGGTGGAAAGTTAAAGTAAAAGCAAAGTGTTTAGAAGAATGTGTGGTTTTCTTCTTAGGTGTTATTATGCCATGAAGGATGGATGACAGGTGGGCGGGGCCTACCTGCCAGGCCTGCCAGCAGACTTCAGAAAAAGAGTCTAGGATAGAGATGTGTTCTGTACCCAGTGTAAGAGCATGAAGAGGGTGGGTGGGTGGGTGGGTCCTGGGGAAGCGTTCGTGCTGGCCACACAGCAGCAGATCAGGACAAGGGAAGAGGAGGCCTCAATGTGAGGGGAAAGATGTACAGGGGAAAGAAGTCCTGGCAGCTGGAGAAGAGCTAGCTCTGTCACAGAATTCCATCAAGTGAGGAAAGAATGAAGGAGAGCCTGGCTCAGGCAACAGAAGGTGTTGGTGACAGCGAGAGGGTAAGGAACGTGCACACAATCTCTTGGAGGTGAGCAGCTCTGAAGAGGGCTCAAATGTAATATGGGCTGCATAAAGGTGGAGGAATATTTAAAGCTAAAGAAGAGAGCTAAAGGCCAGGCACTGGTGGCTCCTTCCTATAATTCTACTTAGGAGGCTGAGAACTGAGGATCACAGTTTGAAGCCATCATAGGCAGGAAAGTCTGTGAGAGTCTGTTCGCCAACTAATGAGAAAAACAATGGAAATGCGAGTGTGGTTCAAGCAGTAGAATGGCAACCTTGATTGAAAAAGTTAAGGGTGTCTGGTGCTGGTGATTCAAGCCTGTAATCCTAACTACTCAGAAGGCTGAGATGTGAGGATCATGCATCAAAGCCAGCCTGGGCAGGAAAGTCTGTGAGACTCTTATCTTTAATAAATTACAAAAAAAGTCAGAAGTAGAGCTGTCACTGTAGATCACTAGTCTTGAGCAAAAGAAACTCAGAGATAATGCCCAGACCCTGAATTCAAGCCTTAGAACCAGCACTCACATTAGGTAGGGGCTGGAATGTGGCTTAGTGATAGAATGCTTGCCTTGCATGCATGAAGCCCTGGTGTTTGATTCCTCAGTACCATATAAACAGAAAAGACCTGAAGTAGCTCTGTGGCTCAAATGGCAGAGCACCAGCATTAAGCAAAAGAAGCTTAGGGAGAGTGTCCAGGCCCTGAGTTCAAGCCCCAAGACTGGCAAAAAAAAAAAAAAACTACAATGGGGGGGTAGAGGTAGGGAGAGAGAAAGAAAGAGAGACAGACTGAGACAAGCAGAAAAAGTCAGATAAGATGATGTTATGCAAAATGAACCCCAAGATAAGGACTCAAGTGGTTTTTCTTGCTTGCTATTGTTTCTAACATCTTTATAAGGTGGTTTTTTTGTTGCTTTGTATGTCCCTCCCACAGTATAACCCCTGTTTTCACTGTATTTGATGTTGCTATAATTTGGGAAGGGGAAGGGAAAAAACAAATTGTTTAAATAGGGATACAGGTGGACCCATTGAGATGTATGTACAAGATACTATGTTGAAAAATGAACTTTACAACTTTAGGGGGTGTGTCGTTGTAGAGATGGGAGGGCAGCAGTGGTAAGGGAAAAGCAAAGGAGGAGGCAACAATGCTTGATAAGAAATGTATTCATTGGGGCTGGGAAGGTGGCTCAATGGTAGAGTGCTTGCCTTGCATGCCTGAGGCCCTGGGTTTGATTCCTCAGCACCACATAAGCAAAAAGAAAAAAGCTGGAAATGGCATTGTGGCTCAAATGGTAGAGCGCTAGCCTTGAGCTGAAGAGCTGAGGGACAGCGCCCAGGCCCAGAGTTCAGGCCCCACAACCGGATCCAAAGAAAAAGAAAAAAATAAATGTACTCATTACCTTGCTCATGTAATTGTAACCCCTCTGTATGGTATTTTCACAATAAAAAAATTATTTTTTAAACAAAAGAGACAGAGAGATACCAGCAGCAAACAGAGACATAAAGAGAGGGAGAGACCCAGACAGAAAGAGGAAGGGAAGATTGAACTCCAAGGAGGAAATTATACCTAAAAGTCTCTCCAAAGAGAAAGGAAAAATGGTCCAGATTCTTCTCCCCAGAGAACTGGGAGATGCCGCAGTTCTGACAGATGGGAGATGCCAGAGAGACGTCACCCTTCTAAGATGCCCTACCTCCTAGCCTCTTCCTTATTTCATTTCCTCAGGGTTGGGTCCAGTGGGAGAAGGCAAAGACTCTGGAAGAAAATCCCATTGCAGGGGCTGGGAAGGTGGCTCAGTGGTAGAGCGCTTGCCTTGCATGCCAGAGGCCCTGGGTTCGATTCCTCAGCACCACATAAGCAGAAAAATAAAAAGCCGGAAGTGGCGCTGTGGCTCAAGTGGTAGAGCGCTAGCCTTGAGCTGAAGAGCTGAGGGACAGCGCCCAGGCCCAGAGTTCAGGCCCCACGACCGGACCCAAAAAAAAAAAAAAAAGAAAATCCTATTGCATTGCCATGCATGATACTTCAGGTCCAGTCCAGGTGACTTTATTGTTGCTGTTTTTATATAAAAGTGGTACTCAGACTCAGGATCTGATGCTTTCATTCACTGGCTGGTACTCTACTGCCCAAGTCACCCCTCCAGGTGACTTCTAATCAGAGTAAAGGCAAAATAAGACAGCTCATTTTAGCCAGGAGCCAGTGGCCCATGCCTGTAATCCTAGCTACTCAGGAGGCTGAGATCTGAGGATCATGGTTCAAAGCCAACCCGGGCAGGAAAGTCGATGAGACTCTTATCTCCAATAAACTACTAGAAAACCAGAAGTGCCACTGTGGCTCAAGTGGTAGAGCGCTAGCCTTGAGCTGAAGAGCTCAGGGACAGTGCCCAGGCCCAGAGTTCAAGCCCCACAACTGACAAATAAAAAGAAAAGAAAAAGACAGCAAGTTTTCCCCAAGGACTATATGAGATGAGAAAAATATAGAACAGCTGATATTTTATGGCAAGACACCAAGGGCAGAGAAGACAGCTGTCCTGGCCCAGTAACCTTCCACTCTGCCCCTGAGCTCAGAGGTGCTGGAGAAGAAGCTCCTAGCTGGTGGGCAGGAGGGACAAGTCTGATCTGGCACCTACCTGTAAGGACAGAGTGAGAGTAAAGAAACAAGATCAGAAGCCAGTAGTTGAAAGCTGAGTGCTGGTGGCTCATGCCTGAGGCTAATCAGGAGGCTGAGATCTGAGGATTGAGATTCAAAGCCAGACTGGAGAAGGAAAGTCTCTGAGGTGCTTATCTCCAATGAACCACCAGAAAATCAGAAGTGGAGCTGTGGCTAAAAGTAGTAGAGTGTGAACCTTGAGCAAAAGAACTCAGGGATAGTACTCAGGCCCTGAGTTCTAGCCCAGGGCCAGCAAAAAAGAAAAAGAAAGAAGTGGGCACTTGAATCTTGAATTCAGGTCTGATTTGCCTTAGCTAAGTAGTACCGGATGGTTTTGAGGCTGTCTCCTTGCTGTTTGCTTTCTGTGGGGGAAAGGGAACAGAAAACCCATGGATAAAAGCCCTAAGCTTGGATCTCTCAGCCTCAACTGCCAATGTGCAATGTCTCCTCGCTTTCAGAAGTGTTTTCCCCAGTGGCTTGTGGGCCTTGAACTCAGGGTCCCCAAACTTTTTTGTGGAAGGCTAGCACTCTGAGCCATTGCTCACTTCCAATTTTCTGGGGGTTCATTGGAGATAAGTCTCACAGACTTTGCTGCCCAGGACTGGCTTTGAACTGTGATCCTCTGATCTCAGCCTCCTGAGAAACTAAGTTTAGAGGTGTAAGCCACTAACATCTGGTTGTTTATTGCCTTAATTCATTGGATCCTTGCAACAGCTCTGCAGGGTTGGTCAAAGGGGATTTCTATCATCCTTCCTATGACAAATGCAGAAGTGAGGCCCAGAGCACTCCAGTCATCTGACTGCGCTGGGGAGGAGTTCAAGGTACAGCCATTGTAAGACACTGCCAACGATTTCCTTTCTCTCTTTTTTGCTCTTCCTCATTGACTGCCTGTGTAACAATGAGTCACTCATCCATCCCACGTCTGCACATACACACACACATACACACACACACACATATATGAGATCCGAGTGTCACATGATCCAGGCTCTGGATTAGCCACTCTGGGAAATAAACAGGAAAAGGTCACAGCTGTCAGGGAAAGCATACTCTCAAAGGTGATCACACCCCAGAAGTTTTCCTAGACAGCAGAGTGGCCCTAGGAAGGAAGTGGTGACATCTGCTTTGGTGAGTCACAGGCAAAGGTGTGCAGGGGGGAGGGGGAAGGAACAATAATGGAATACTTACTTGAATCTAGCAAGTGTGTGTGAGGGGTGGGGACCACAGGTTTCTTTTGACATAGAGACTGTGACCTCAACTCTACATGGCCCCAGACTCAGCACTAAGAGGCACAGAATGAACGACTGGTGAATGACAGTATGCTACCCAGGCAAGTGAACTTCTGCAGAGCACTGAGTCTCTCTGTCTCATTCTCCACTGCCACTCAGCACAGTACCTAAGAAAATGTACTGACCGCTGGGAGCTGGTGGCTCACGCCTGTAATCCTAGCTACTCAGGAGGCTGAGATCTGAGGATCGCGGTTCAAAGCCAGCCCAGGCAGGAGAGACTGTGAGACTCCTATCTCCAATAAACCACCAGAAAACCGGAAGTGGCACTGTAGCTCAAGTGGTAGAGCGCTCGCCTTGAGCTGAAGAGCTGAGGGACAGCGCCTAGGCCCAGAGTTCAAGCCCGACGACCGACACAAAAAAAAAAGAAAAAAAAAATGTACTGACCACTGTTTGTCATGAAAGCCAAGGGCAAGGGGAAGACTTTAACTATCATCCTTTCTGCTTTTAAGTTTTTAATATCTTTTGTTGTTGGTGGTGGTGGTCATGTGGCTTGAACTCTGGGCCTGAATGTTGTCCCTCAGCTTTTCAGCTCAAGGCTAGCGCTCTACCACTTGAGCCACAGTGCCACTTCCAGTTTTTGGTTGGTTTAATTGGAGATAAGAGTCTCATGGACTTTCCTGCCCAGGCTGGCTTTGAACCACGATCTGCAGATCTCAGCCTCCTGAGTAACTAGGATTATAGGCGTGAGCCACCGGCACCCAGCTTTTTAATATATTTTTTAAAAACGTAATTAGACAGCCAAGATATCCATGGCTCATGCCTGTGATCCAAGCTACTCAGGAGGCTGAGATCTAAGGATCAAGGTTCAAAGCTAGCCTGCATAGGAAAATTGAGACATTCTTATCTCCCATTCACCACCAAAAAGCCAGAAGTGGAGGTGTGACTCTAGTGGTAGAGTGCTAGCCTGGAGCACAAAGAGGCTCAGGGATAACACCCAGGCCCTGGATTCAAGCCTCAGTACTGGCACAAAAAAATTAAAATATTGAATTGATACAAAAGCTTATTTATAGGTGTTTTGTATGATGTTTCAATGTACATACACCCAATGTATATATTTTCTGACTTCCATTTCTACCCATATTGTCACAAATTACTGTATTTAACTACTTTTGTGCATGTGCAAGAGGTACTGGGGCTTGAACTTGGGACCTGGGCGCTGTCCCTAAGCTTTTACACTCAAGACTGGTGCTCTATCACTTGAGCCACAGCTCCACTTCTGGCCTTTTTTTGTTAATTAGAGATAAGAGTGTCACAGACTTTCTTCCGTGTGCTGGCTTTGAATCTTGATCCGAAGGTCCCAACTCCTTAAATAGGTTGGATTACAGGCATGAGTCACTGGCTGGGTCCAGCTCTCACATTCTAGTTTTTTGTCTTAGATTTGCTTCAGAGAGAACCCAAACTTCTAGAAACCTATACTGTAAGTTATCTTTATACCTATATAAAAAATGACATTTGTCCACTTTATTTATTCAGTATTATTTAGTCACAGTGAGAGGCTGGAAGGTATATATCCAAAGGAGACTGATTAGTTTTTAAGTAAGTTTTTTATTGTGAAAATACTGTACAGAGGGGTTACAGTTACATGAGCAAGGTAATGAGTGCATTTCTTATCCAGCATTGTTGCCTCCTCCTTTGTTTTTCCCCTACCAGCCCGTACTTCCCACCTCCTCAACTACATGCCCCCCCCCACGAGACTGATTATTTGTAGCATGATATATACACACAATGGAATACTATGCAGTCGTATACAGGAATGAGAAAGTCTGAATTGATGTGAAATGATCTGAGCCATATTAATGACCAAAACAATGCAAGCTACAGTACAGGGTAAAGTTGCTAGCATGTGTGTAAAACAGCTTGTGGGTATGTGTGCACCTGTGTGACTATTTGTACATGGCCTTGAATTTTGCTGAAGGAGAATCAAATCTAACGCAGCTCTCACGGTCCCTGAGAAGAAGAGTTCACTAGCTAGGAAAGGAGACTGTGTTCCATAGATGCCTGAGTGTGTCTTTTGATTTCTGGTACAATGGGAAGATTTGGAAAGGATAAAGGTATCATCAGTGTAACGAATGCTTAGGTAGAAGGGAGATGTCTCATTCTTCACTAGATGTCCTTACTGGGACCCAGGACTCTGATTTGAGTCAGAGAGGCTCATCAGCTCCTGGGTTCTTGGTTCTACCCCTTGGGTCCACTCAGGGCTGGCTCCACAGGCCCCTCCTGTCTGCAGGCTTGCCCACACACTGCCCCACTTCCTTCCACAAAGAGAGCCCAGGCTCACTTCCCTCTACATCCGCCCTCAAACAAAGGTCCACCAGCATCTTCACCCACTCACAAGGAAGCTGAGCAAGTTCCTTCTGCCCAAGAGAACACACTGTGCTGGACACCCACAGGCAAAAGACACTTGAATCACAGATCACACACACACACACACACACACACACACACACACACACACACGCAGACATACATGCAGACATACAGACTCTAGGATAGAAAGCTAGAGAAGGTCCCATCTCAACACCCAGTCTCCTCTAGGACGTGTCTGTCTAGCAGTCTGGGGGACTGGCAAGATAGTCCAGTTTGTTGCTGGAAAGGCCACTTCATGGAAAACTTGTTATTGGGGCGGTGTCTCTTGGGGAGCAGCTTCACCCATCATGTCCTTGTACTGCCGCTTGAAGAAGCCGAGCTGTCAGAACAGAGAGAGAGAGAGAGAGTCAGGCTGAAGAAGCAGGGGAGGAAGGGGGGGGCTAATCACATGTAAAAGTCAGACAAACCAGGAGGAAAGGCAAAAGGGCCGAGAAGAGGCAAAAAGAAATAGTTAGTGCAGAAGTCAGGCACCAGTGGTTCACACCTGTCATCCTAGCTGTGCAGGAGACTGAGATCTGAGGATCACAGATCAAAGCCAGCCTGGGCAGGAAAGTCTGTGAGATTCTTGTTTCCAATGAACCATCAGAAAATCAAAAGTGGCTCTAAGTGACTCAAGGTGGCTCAAAGTGGTAGAGTACTAGTCTTGAGCTAAAGAGCTCAGTGACAGTGCCCAGGCCCAGCGTTCAAGCCCCACAACTGACAAAAAGAAAAAGAAATTGTGCAGAGTGCAGGAAAGTCCTGTAGAAAGCAAGGCTCTGAGAAAAATTGCATCACTGTTGTGTTGGGGCTAGGAAATATAAGATATAACATGAACCAGGTATCGTGGCTCACTCCTATAATCTCAACTAGTTGGAAGGCAGCAACATGGAAAACCAACTGAGTCACAGACTCAGAGATATGGAAGGCCATCTTGAGGTAACAAGTAAGACAGACCCCATCTCAACAATAAAAATAAAGCTGAGGGCAAGTGGCTCATGCGTATCATCTCAGCCACACAGGCTGCACAAATAAGGGATTGCAGTCCAGGCTGACCCAGGCTAAAATGCAAGATCCTATCTCAAAACTGACCAAAGCATCAGAGACAGGAGTGAGGAGCCAAGTTGTATCTGCCTAGCAAGCATGATACCTTGAGTTCAAACCCCAGGACTGGCAGGATTGTGTATTTATTATTTATTTTCATTGTATTAATACTTAATATTATATTTTTTGGGTCCGGTCATGGGGCCTGAACTCTGGGCCTGGGCCCTGTCCCTCAGCTCTTCAGCTCAAGGCTAGTGCTCTACCACTTGAGCCACAGCGCCAC